ACCGTTTGTTTCAGCCGGAGTCGAATGGCCTCCGAGCATCCGGGACCTGCCGCCTCTGCCCGGCCCAAGCTGCTCGTCTTTGACCTTGACCTGACCCTCTGGCCATCCATCGCCGGCACCCACCATCGGCCGCCATTTCACGAGCGGAACGGAACGGTTTTCGACTCCTCCGGAAGAGAGCTCCACCCGTTTCCCGAGTCGTCAGCAGTGTTAGAGGAGTGTCATGCCCAGGGGTATCTCATGGCAGTCGCATCACGATCGGGTGACAAGTCCAGCTGCAAGCAGCTGATGGCACTGTTCGGTTGGAGGAAGTACTTCAAATACGTGGAGATATATCCGGGATGCAAGAAGAGACATTTCTCGCGGATTCACAAGGTGTCGAAGATACCGTTGTCAGATATGCTGTTCTTCGATGATGATGGCGTCAATATTAGGGACCTGACTCAGTTGGGGGTGATGTCAATACTAGTGTCGGGCTCGACTGGAATCAACAAATACTTGGTGCACGAAGGGCTTGCAAAATTTGTTAGAGAAAGATCGTGTGGAAAAGTCGTGAGTGATAGATGCAATTAACCTGAAACCGGTTACCGATAGTCTCGGATTTGACGATTTTGACTTTGTGAAAATTTCCATGGCCTTTTATACTGTATGCCTGTTACGTTCGCTCTTGGCTTCGCGGATTTAAACTGTTTCATGCTGTTATTTATCATGACATGACATGACATGTGTGACTGACTTATTGCTCATTGAATTGTTGAGAACTTCTGAGAAGTTCAGCCAAGTGTGCCTTACGGGTCACACCTTGGTAGTACAAGTTGTGCTCATACCTACCGCATCTCATTCTCCTCTTGCTGCTAGGATTACAACATAGCTATATTTACACTAGTCAATATTCATCCTTGTGCGTGACTTTCTATTTACCTATATTTGATAATACATAACTGAAAAAAGTATGGAATGCTTAAGTGTTTTAATTGGTAGGGAGCCGTCCCATAGAATATATCGCAAATGATGAGAGAGAGAGAGAGAGAGAGAGAGAGAGAGAGAGAGAGAGAGAGAGAGAGAGAGAGAGAGAGAGAGAGAGAGAGAGAGAGAGAGAGAGAGAGAGAGAGAGAGAGAGAGAGAGAGAGAGAGAGAGAGAGAGAGAGAGAGAGAGAGAGAGAGAGAGAGAGAGAGAGAGAGAGAGAGAGAGAGAGAGAGAGAGAGAGAGAGAGAGAGAGAGAGAGAGAGAGAGAGAGAGAGAGAGAGAGAGAGAGAGAGAGAGAGAGAGAGAGAGAGAGAGAGAGAGAGAGAGAGAGAGAGAGAGAGAGAGAGAGAGAGAGAGAGAGAGAGAGAGAGAGAGAGAGAGAGAGAGAGAGAGAGAGAGAGAGAGAGAGAGAGAGAGAGAGAGAGAGAGAGAGAGAGAGAGAGAGAGAGAGAGAGAGAGAGAGAGAGAGAGAGAGAGAGAGAGAGAGAGAGAGAGAGAGAGAGAGAGAGAGAGAGAGAGAGAGAGAGAGAGAGAGAGAGAGAGAGAGAGAGAGAGAGAGAGAGAGAGAGAGAGAGAGAGAGAGAGAGAGAGAGAGAGAGAGAGAGAGAGAGAGAGAGAGAGAGAGAGAGAGAGAGAGAGAGAGAGAGAGAGAGAGAGAGAGAGAGAGAGAGAGGAGAGAGAGAGAGAGAGAGAGAGAGAGAGAGGAGAGAGAGAGAGAGAGAGAGAGAGAGAGAGAGAGAGAGAGAGAGAGAGAGAGAGAGAGAGAGAGAGAGAGAGAGATTACTTTTCGAGGGGAAAACTGACTAGGTACATTCATTGCAAATTTCTGGACATAAACTCCTCGAATATCGTTTCCTTCTGCGTTACGGTGCAATAGAAGACACTTCGCTGCCGGGACATTTGATCTGTTATCCTCCGGCCTCCCCTCCTTTGATTTGCCGGTGCAGAAGTAACACAGATGTGTCGGTGATAAATAAATGTCTATATTGCATGTATAAGCGCACCTCTCTACCACAACGTAAAGTAAATTTGGATATGGCAGCTTTTATGGAAGCCGCATTTTCCGTTCGCATTTTGGCGCTTCTCACCAGAAAATTAGTTTTGCGACACGTGGGAGAGTGGGAGTGTGTTTGGGTAAATAGCGATGAAGAAAAGTGGGAATTTCGTGTGATTAATGAGTTCAGTGTCAAAACGAACAGATAATTCGGATGCCCTATATATCGGCACGACGTGATTTTGAAGTGCGTGAATTGGGAGGAGCGATGGAATCTTCCAGAAGGAGAAGGCGGCTAGAATGGTAACAGCCGAACAATTGAGAGCGGGACACTTGCCGGGTAAGTCCTCAGTTTTGAGTTTTCTCTTGATTTTCTGCGATCGCCTTCTCATCTATCTAATCTCATTTTCTCGAGTCTCGACTCCAATAGGCTAGTAATTGACCCGCGCATGACTGGGGGAAGGGGGGGGGGGGGCTCAGCCCCTCCCGTTTTTTTGCACTTTCTCCTAAACCGCTAGACATATCAACACGAAACTTGCAGTACCTTCGGCTGCATCAATTTGACACATTGTGTCCAAATAAAAATTTCGTTGATACCATACGTTACGTTGATACCATGCCCGGCCAATTTTGATGCAAAATATATTGCATACCGATTACCGATAATCTACTCTAGAAACTTTTAGCCCGATAGCTTCAAAAATAGCTAAATTCCCAACCGGTACAATTGGCCAGGGCCGCATCTGGTTTTACCCTGGCTAGCTAGTAGCTCCGGCAATTACTCCGGCCGAAGTACGGTACGGGTAAGATCTGGAGCTCTACTGGAGCCACAAACGATCCCGGAGCTCGCCCGCACCACAGCCGGACTTATGCCGTATCAGCCTTGCCGTACCTCACTGTACTTCAGCCACAGTAAGCCAGAGCAGCTAAGAGGCAGCGGGACCTGGCCGTAGCACGCCGTAGCAGAGGGCCGGGCTTGAGCCAGACTTGCGGTCCAAAACGACAGGGGCCCGGCCCGGGAACGATTTTCAAGTTGGGGGGGGGGGGGGGAGGGGCGAGCCTAGAATACCTGACATGATGCATATGAAGTAGTGGCGTAGATAGGGGCCTAAGGGGACACGTACCCCCCCCCCCCATCGGGTTCAAAGGGACCCTCGGGTCCGAGAGGCCGTGCGGCGCCATTTGACCGCTGAGAGTTAACGATGGCCATATTTCGACTCAGAAGGGCCCCATGGGGCTCGTTAGAACACCTCATGTGCCCTAAATAACCACACTAAAATCTCCATAAGGGCCCACGCCGGCCTCTGAGGGCCTTTTGCAGACTTTAAGGGCCCCTCGGTGGTCTCCAAAGGCCCGTTACTGGGCTCTGAGAGTTATTAACGGCCTATGAGGGGCCAGTTCTAGGGGAATTTCCCGCCTGTGATGGTCACACACTTATATTTCTGATGGCCCCATAACGGCAACTGTTGGGGCCCTCATCGGCGCCTATGAGGGCCCACACCGGTGCCTCTGAGCGTTTCACACCCCCCAACTCTGAGTGTCTACACCAGTGCCTATTAAAGCCATATCTGAGGACCCAACAGTCAACACCTGCGCATCTAAAGGCCACCCACTGGTGACTTGAGGGCCCCACACCGGTGACTCTGAGCCCTGAGGGCCCCACCGGCGTCTGACAGTACCATGCCGGTCTCTAAGGACCCCACAAGACTTCTTCTGCCGGCCTAAGGGCCCCTTGCCGGTCACTGAGAACCCCCTGCCGGCTTGTAGAGGGTTCGCGTAAGCAGCTCAAAAGACCCCACACCCGTCTGTAACGGCTCCACAGTCCACACCAGCGTCTATGAGGGCCCACAGCGAGTAGTAAAGGAATCTTGCCCACAGCAACGCCTGTGAGGACCCTCACCGGCGCCTCTGAAAGAATCACACTAGCACCTCTGAGCGCCCACACCGGCACCTGCATGGCGGCCCAACACCAGTGCCTCTAAAGGTACCGGCGGCTCTGAGGGCCCTACGCCGGTGATTCTGAGGGTGCTATCGATAACTGAAGGCACCACACAAGCCCTTAGGTGTCGCTGAGCTTTAATCCCATACCGGCCTTCCGAGGGCGCTACGTCAATGCACTCATTGTCCCACATCCCTCCCTCACACCCGGAGCGGGTAAACTGTGTTATACCTATAGCAACGATTTTACCACCGTTGTACGTTATGTACAGCTAAGCTGTATTTCTCAAAGTTGACTCAAAATGGTCCAGTATAAAATCTGGCATGCCAAACTTATTACCAAGGCCAGGCCCAAACCAAAGCGGAATGACAATAGCAGATGTTGTCAAATCGAAATCGACTTCAGCCAATCCAAATGGCTGGCTGGGTTATACGTTTTGTATTTCACCATTCCCAATTTTTCAGATCAATTTTTCTGTACGTTTTCGGCTGTGTACACTAAATTAAATAGCACCATCATTTTCTGACTGCTCAAAGTGCACCTGATATACCTACACATTTGCTGTTAAAAATTCCAGCTTCAGAATTTGACCTTTTTACCTGAAAGTGACCTTCACCTGACCTCTGCTACATTCGGTTGAAAATGCCCTCAAATGACACGGATGGCACTGTTTTCGAAATCCATGGCTGAAATGAACCACAAAACATGTGTCACTTGACCGGTGCCTTATTCAAAATTTTCCTGACCTAAGATGACCTGGCCTTGACCTGGAAAATTCGAAGTAAAAGTTCGGTACCCTCAGGGTATCTCAGCCCTCAGGCATATCTCAACTAGTGTGTAAACAAAAAATGAGTCCGATTTGACTTGTTCGCTAACGGCCAGAGGCCAAGTTGTGATCACGCCAAAATGTTGATAATTTTTACTTTGACCTAACCTGTGACGTCATCGGTGACATGGAGGTCAATGAAATAAGGTTTCGCAGTTCGCTGGACAGTTTGTTCAAGTTTCGGAGCCAAACCACGCTCGATGCCAAACCACGTCCATCGGACTGGTCATCCGACGCGAGATCCAATTACAACCGACCGAACCACCAACACAGCTTCTGTACCGAGAGCGTGTATTGAGGCCACACGCCGACACCTTCACTGCGGGCGGCCGCACTGCCCTGTCCTATCACCTCACACCCACACGCACACACCCCATCACAGAAGCCGGGGCGACCGCCGCCGGGCCAAGCACGAGTTAATTAGAGACCACTGCCGGGTCTGTCGTCTCGCGATAGCGCGCGTGCTGCACAGAATGCCACTCTCGGCGCCCCGAGATATCGGCCGGCCACGGAGACGCGCTGTCCCGACGCGCTATGTACAAACGGTCCATCGTCGGGCCGGTGACGGGTTCGGAGGCACGCGCCGCGTGCTGACGCCGGAAGGCCACACGGTAAGCCACTGGGATCTGAGGGCGCCCAGCGCCGGCTCGAGTTCTGGACTCGCGACGGCGCTGCGGTACATGGTATGGCACGACAATTTTGACACACGCGTTCCTCGTATATAGGCACTTGGATTCACGATCTGGTGCTCTGTGCGGCAGGAGAAGGCACTGGGTTGACGCTTGAATATGTACACTTGCGTGCAGTAAGCACGCTCACACTCATTCATACACATATTGTACAGGCACGTAAATACACATACGCATAACATGCTGGCAAAGACTCAAAAGAGGCTGAACCCCAGCCTAGATGGCCACCCAGTCCGGCCGCAAGACGAGCATTTACATGTCAACGGTCGCATACACTGGCATACAGAATGTGGCGGGATCCGCCCTGTTCAAGAGGCTCGCTCGCACGCGCTGGTCGGCGGCCGGCGCCTGGGTTGACGGCAGGCGAGGAGCGAGACCTCGTCAGGCCAACACGTTGCCACTGTGTTTGTCGGCGATATGACTGGCTGTCTGGCTATTGCCGCCCTGCTATCTGAGAAGGCACTGAGTATTGTTACTCCTACTGCAAGTCCTGGCGAGAGCCCCTGTTAGTAAACCCAGCTTCTAGCCAGCACTAGCTAGATAAACGCAATGAACACGACGCCAGGCGAACAATAAAATAAATATTGACATTCTACCTATTGCAACGAAATTATTATAATAATAATGATAACAACTTAGCCTACGTTTGGCACCGTGAGTAGTCGGCTAGGGGGAGGCTTCGGAGCTTACCACTACATTTGTTTTTACCCTACAACCGGGTGTACTGCAACATAATACTGCACAGCAGAGGAGCTGTGCGCTCGCTCTTCACGAAGCGACACTCAATACATTGTTCTGTCATCGTCAAGCAGCCTACGAAGCTTCATACAGTCAACACAACGAAAAAAGAAGAGCATCATGGAAAGATCCAGACCAAAGGCAGCTCGGATACAGTGCACACGCGAACACGATGACGCCCTGAAACGCCACCAGCAGGTCACTAGCAAGAGAGTAAGGCAATTCTGGCCTCGTGCAGGAGCGTCACGAGCACCACGTCCCTGGCGCACCTCTAATATCAGTCTACAAGTTCGGGCGGCCGCCACCGTGGCGCCACCGGCTCCGATCATTCCATGTGTCGGTACTTGTGGGCCGACATCTGGCTCAGCCCGAGCACCGAGTACTGGCACTTGACGCAGTGATAGTGAGTCTGCTTCCCGTTGTGGTTGCACGTTTCGATCTTGCAGCTCTGGCTGGGCGTGAACTTCTCGAAGCCGGCCTGGGTGATGGAGTCGAGCTTGGTGTGCTGTCGCCGATGGGCCACCACCTTGTTCGTGTCTGTGCAGACAAACTCGCACTTGAGGCAGTGGAAGTGGGACGCCTTGTTCTGGCGCTGGTCTGGAAGACGAGAAAGAGCAGCCAACGGTCAGTAAACATAATAGGCTATTTATCATGGACGTAACTTGATCAATCCTGCAATGTAAGCAAAGTTGGGCCTAGCCGCTTATGTCGTCTTCAACAGGTAGCACGGGAAGTTGTTATTTAGTCCGCACTGTCTCATTATGTTCTCGCCTCAACTCACCGAGAGTGTTCGTGTAGATGCAGGCGTCCCTGCCACAGGGGATGTTGGCGCGGTACTGGACGAAGTCGCCGCCCATCAGCGTGTCCAGCCGCTCGTGGCGAGCCGTGTGCTGCACGAAGCGTGTCTTGTCGCAGAAGCTGTAGCCGCAGTCCTTCCGTATGCAGTGGAAGTGCGTCTGATGCTCTCGGTAGCCACAGTGCGGGTACTTGCAGTCTTCGTTGAACCTGAGAAAGGAGAGAGGGACGTCTGAAGGAACGATAGGGTAGATGTACGTTCGATATTCTACTGTCAGCTTTTTTTTGTTCATTTGCATATGCTTACGCAAGAATCTAATATACAAATTCTGGTAATAGAATGTTCTCTATTGCTGAGCATTAGTTCGGTCAGTGGAGTTCAAAAACTAATTTGGAAATGGGCAAATAAGCTTTCTTCAGAAGTACGTTGATAGAAAAGACGCGATCATGCTGCGGTGGGAAATGAGAAGACGACAGAAAAGGTAAAAAACGTATGGAGCGTACTCTTTGTTGTACCTGAATCTGATATAGCCGTCAGGCACTGGCTCGTCTTTCAGGATGCGCATGTTGCGCGGCTTCTTGACTTCGGGCCGGTGCCCATCACCGGGACCGTCTCCGGAGAGGCGCTTCCGCGACAGCAGCGCCGGATCAAACATGGCCGCGCTCATCGGCAGAGGGAATCCGCCATTTTGTGGTGGCATCATCGGGAACCCTGTCAGATGGAGGCACAAGTCAGATTGGGCGATCGTGTTGTCAGACGCCAATGCAATGGTATGACTTTCGCAGAATGAACTTAACGAGCTGGCGCTATGAAATATGGATGTTGTTCATCTGACAGCGGCGGGCTGTTTCGTCATCCTTGTTTTGCTACATCAAAAACAGCATACTGAAAGGCGGATCTGATCGTTCTCTGGCCAACATACGACGTCTGCTGCCGACCCGCCCACTGACCTGCCAGCGCCGGATGCAGGGCCGGCCTCAGCAGGAATCCTTCAGGTGAGCCCAAGAAAGACGCGTGCGCGAACGGATGGAACGGCAGCATCGGGTGCCGAGGCATCTCCGGGACGACCTCGGCGCCGGGAATGTCTGCGAAAAGAAACATTATATTGTCAGCAATTGTCTTGGCGTATCTGCGACATGGAGTATCATTTGTTTTATTTGCAATATAATTGTTGTGCATAATTACTCCATGGCAGTTATTCCGTATGGTGCTTAGCCCCATGGTTAGCAGTTAACACCCTCCGAATCCCTAATGCAGTACATTCTGCGAGACAGGGCACTCACTTCTGCGCTGTTCCCGCTCTTGCTCTTCCTGTTGCTGTTGCTGTTGCTGTTGCTGCTGTTTCTGCTGCTCTTCCGCACGCTGCTCCTGTTGCTGCTGCTGCTGCTGCTGGTGCGATCCGATTCCCCCGATGCCGATACCGGCGGCCGTTTGCGGCGACTGCCAGCCCTCAGCGTGCCGCTCCAGGTGCGGGTGCAGCCGCTCTGCCTCACTGAAGGCCTGGTTGCACAGCTCGCAGTGGTAGTGCTCACGCCGCTTCAGCTTGCAGAAGGGCCGGCCGCACGGCTGCTCCTCCTGGAAGTGACTGAAGCTCTCGGCGACGCTGGGCGCTGTGGGACGTTTCAGCGTGGCCGGCGACTGCAGCAGTCGTGACATTAGGTCCGTGCCTGCCGTAGAAGGGTGGAAGTCAGTGTGTGAGCGGAGACGAGAAGACTGGGAAATCAATAAGCATATCATGACATCGTTAGTAATGGCTCATGTGAAACTCTTCCGGCTAAGAACATCGAGACGAGTGTAACCGTGCTCACCTGGATGCTGAGTCACGGCTGGGAGCGGCGCTGAGGTAGCCGGATCAGACCGCTCTCCCTGGGCCTGCAGTTCGGTGGGCGAGCGGCTACGCCGGGGACTGGCGGCACCCAGCGTCGGAGGAGAGCGCTGACGCTGCTCCGTCAGGCGCGAGTGCAGCACCAGACCTTGGGGCATGTCGGGCGTGGCAAACGCCGACAGCGGGTAGTAGGTACCGGCCGCCTTCACGATCGGAGAACCTGTTCGTAAGAGAGGGAGACGTATGTCACTACACAAAGAAATGCCTGGCTTAGATAAAACAAGTCTCGGAGTATGAAAACACTTGAAAAAATATTGGTTATTTATCCCACACCTAGGTTTCATTAATTTTTTTTGGCACAATTGTTTTGTAGCCGCGTGCCTTTTCTGAAAGTGCAACATCAGCACAAGACATACGTCTTGTCCTGATAACTCGTTATTTCGCCCTCTGCATAAAACCATCATACACTGGTCTCCGGTGCTGACCTGTCTGTCCGTTGGAGGTCGGCGGCGGCGAGCCGGTGGCCTGCTGCGAGCGGTGGAGCTTGTCATGCTCCGCCATAGCCAGGTAACGAACGAATGAGTGTCCACAGCCGGGCCTTGTGCAGTGGAAGTGACGGTTCACCTTGTTGCTGTAAGATCGGGCGAAGGGGACGGAGGTTAGGCAACGGACTTGATTTTAGTGGTGCGAAGACGCTGATGAAACCAAAACAAACATGTCAAGAACAATGCATCTTTGGCATGTTTAATGTATGTAAGCTAAGCTATGTCACTGCATCTCAATAACTCGTGAAAGTTTGTTTTCCATGGTGATGCTCCTTACACCGATCACTCAGTAAACGAAGGCAGATCGGTTTGCCTACCTCAGACAGCCTGCCATCTTGCAGTCGACATCTCTGTTGAAGAAGACAAAGCCCTCCAGGATGTCGACGTTGTCATGGAAGTCGCGGGCATGGCTGGTCAGATCCTCCGTGTCGCTACTGGCGAAGAAGCAGCGGGGATGAGCGCAGTGGTAGTGCCTCCGGCCGGCCTGGGCGCAGTCGGCGTCCGTGCACGTGGCACCCTCGCGGTATTCCCGGAAACCCTCCGTCGGGTCGGCCTGCAACAGGGAGAGAAAGAAAGCCATGAGTGCTGCGACGAGGCAGAATAGCTCAACATGAATATTGTGAAGCAAACTGGGTGTACCATTATCTAGAAGAACTACGAAGTCGTGGGCGTGGAGCGTGGGTGTGGCGGTGAGTGATGGGAGTAGGGCTGATGCTGGTGTCGTGACTTTTGGTCGATTGTCAGATTGCTGTCGGAAGTGAGTGGTTTCAGTCTTGACAGGTCTTATCGATATCAGAACATTTACTTGATGGGTTGAAGTGCAACGGGATTGTATAGAGCAAACGAGACACGCTTGACCTAATCTCAAATAGTGTCAGTCCATGAGTAGGGTCCGGCTCACCGGGGTTGAATGAGTTACCATTGACATATCCAACCCAATCACTAGCAGATGCCGATCTCTGCAGCTGAGGACGTTAGACAATAGCTGACAGCAGCCTGTCACAGACGCTGTCGGGCCGACATATGTCTCTCCTTGTCTGATCGATATCGGCGCGAAACTGTGTGTTTATGCACCAGCTCATCACGATGCCCTCGATCGACTGTCGAGCTGCAGCGCTATGATTATTATCGTTGGATCGCCGAGTGTCTGCCGCGACGGCCGGCCCACCCACCTCGTGTTTCACGACTGGTCTCGGCGGGTCGCTGTCAGCCGCCGAGACGGCCGGCGACGTCCCAGGGAGGTCAGCGCTGCGCGCCGCCAGCAGCGGCTTGGGCAGCTTGAAGGAGCCGAACATACCCGGAGGCATGTGGCCGCGGAAGGCGTCCGCACCGGGCATCGGCACCTGTGGGCGGAAGGAATTAACCTTAGACTTTGTTCAGGGAAGATCGTCATGGGCGACTTAACAACGGAACGGAAGATATCATCACTGTCATGAATTGCCTATTGTTATCGTAGCTGAGCAAGACCATACCCATGGAAACTTAGAAGCATTGGCCTGAGAAAAAAAAGTCGGGTGTAGCAATATAGAAGTAAGCGTAAACGCCTCCCACAAATTCATCGTCTCCCATGCCTCACCTCGAACGGAGCAGACACCTTGGCAGCCTGGGCGGCCGCTGCGGCGGCGGCAGCGGCGGCTCGCCGCTTCTGGATCTCCGGAGAGATGTACGGCAGGAGCGGCGGCACCGGTGGCGGTCCCGACGATTCCTTCGACGCCGCCAGTCGTCGCGAGTAGTCGTGCATCTTGTAGTGGTCAAGCCGGCGGAACGGCTTGTCGCTGCGCAGGATGACCTCCGTGCAGCCCTCCCAGTTGCAGTGGTAGTGGCGCTCCTTGCCGCGGTAGAGACAGTGCGGCTGGCACGGACACGGGTCCTCCGTCTCCGCCACCTCCTCGTAGTAGGTGGCCGTCACGTGCTGCTGCTGCTCGTGGTTCCGCGCGTGGTCGCGCGCGCTGTCGCGGCTCTGGAAGAGCACGCCGCACTCGGGCTGGCTGCAGTGGTAGTGCGCCGTGCCTGAGAACTCGCAGCCGGTCACGGCGCAGGTGGCGCCATCTGTCAGCTCCAGGACGAAGCGCTGCATCAGCTCAGCCTCCGGCAGGCGCGGTAGCTCACTCGGGTGGGAGGGCTTCATGTCCTGTGGCGCCAGTGGCTCCAGCGCGAAACTGGACGGCGTTAGCATGCCTGCGAAAAAGAAAAAGATGAACTTCCTTAGATATGTCCAGGTGGATTGAAGGAGGTTGGTTAATTCTGCTTCATCTGTACCTGATTTGTTTTTGCGATCAGCAATGCATCCTAAGTGCATTGCATGCGCACATTTATGAGGCAGTTACATGTCTCCCGTTGCGATTTAACTATCCCGGGTTGGCTACATTGTAGATATCCCACTTCATCTCAGAGCACTGCTCACCTGGGAAGAGAGCTCCGAGCCGGCCGTACGGACTGGCCTTCAGGGCGTCGGAGGGGCTGGCGGGCAGCGGCGACTGCACGCTGCCGGGGCTGGTGCTGGGGCTCGGCTGGTTCAGCGGCGCCATCGAGCCCGGCACCGACACCGACGGCGAGACCGTGCGCGAGAGAGCCGCCGCCAGGGGGAACTGCAAACCGACGACGTGGAGCGGTCAGCGATTTGTAGGCAGGGCTGATTACTTATAATCTACTTAGCTGGCTAGTGGCTAACCGGAAGGGCCCTGACATGCTACAGGTGTGTCATAACGAGGGACATTAACCACTCACACCTGCCACCTGGTGCTCATTATGCGTACTGAGATGTGACCATAGATGACGCTGGCGGCGTTACCTTAGCGGGCGTCAGCTCGACAAAAGGCGTTCCTGGAATCCTTGCACGGCCGTGAAGCATTACACCATCTGAATGCATGACGGCCACTTCTTTGTGTCTGATATCTCGGCATCAGCGTTATGAATGCATCTAGCACGTTGTGCAATCACGTGCCAGAGTTCGAGCCAGGCGCCGCACAAAGGCAGGCGGACCAATTGACCACCATTCAGAGCCGTGCTAGCTCTCCGTCCTCCCTATTCAGGAGTCTGTGCCAGCCCGGTTGGGTCATTTAGAAATATTTCCTGTGTGATCCACTACTCACAAGCATTCATCCATATGAACCGCCCACTCTGGCCCCATGTTCAGTGTGATTGGGTGGGATCAGGTCCGTGCTCTTCCCATTAGATCCCGTCCCGTGCCGTTCCGGCGGGCCTCCCCGTGCCAGGCCCCGTCTGCCCCCGGAGAGGAGCGGTACACACCTGTTCACCGAAGGCGCCGTCGCGTGGCAGGCTCTGCGACAGCCGGTAGTTCCGGTAGGCCATCTCGCTGTCCTGACGCTCGTGCTTGCGCTGAAAATGAGACATCTGAATATCGGTATTAAACATCCTTGACAAGGCAATCAGTCTCGCACACCGCATATTTTTGCATAAACACTCGGAAATAATGACCCAGCCAAGAACCAGACAGCTCAAGGCCAAGTCTTCTATACACAATCAAAAGCAGTGGTTCATACATGTGCACAGCCTAAAAATCGCTAGATTTAGTTGCTGAAAGATAAGTGAACACTGATTACAACTTGTTATCATGAGGATCGCCAGGAGAGGTTTCAAAACTGACACTTGTGCCTAGCTTTCAAATCTGAACTCAAATATCTTCCGAACCCATCGACTTCTCAAGCAGCCTGTCAGGCCGTCCCCTCCTCAGTACAGAAGGCCGGAGGTGCTGTGTCGTGGCGCAGTACGTACCTTATGCGAGTACAGTTGTCCCGAGGAGTGCAGAACGTAGCTGCAGCCGGGACGGATGCAGTGGATGTGATTGCACACCTTGCTGAACCGACAGTTCTCAAACGGACAGTGCTCGTGCTTGATGTACTTTTTGAAGCCGTCTTTGTTGAGCTGTTCGTCCTTAATGTGGTACGTTTTGTGTTTCTCTGCAATCGCCATAGGGCACACGGCAGTCAGAAAACGGACGTGGGTTTTCAGCGAGCGAGCGCGGGGGTCGCGATAGGTACTCTGGACTGAATTAATGGTGGCCCCATCAGATCCTCTGTCAGAGGCCACCCTTCAACGACATCGGAGCGACGATCCCGCGCAGATGAGACTCGGATCTCCATAAAACAGCGGGATCGCGACGGGTACCATGTCTAATGTCACGCTCCGTTTATGCAGGATGTGGTCCACTTTTACAAAAACGCCCGACCGAATGCATCTGATGCCCTTGTTCGCTGTGGCCGGCCATGAGTGCAGACATGCTCCGTTCTGAGAGTTACAGGGGTCCGACAGCGGACGGCGACGGCCGATCGCATATTTGCGCTATTTACGTACACCCCAATCACGATTACCGCGAACCAATTCTGCTGCACGGCCGACACCGAACATGATGAATTTCAATACGGGTGTCATCAGCCTACCAGCAAACAGGCACGCGCGGCGCGACTCACCCATATCAGCCTTGTTCTTGAAGGTGAAACTGCAGCCGGGTCGTTTGCAGTGGAAGTGGGTGGTGCGCTGGCCCTGGTAGCTGCACATCTCGACGCCGCAATCCTCGCTGGCGCGGAACCGCTGGAAGCCCTCCTGCTGGATGGCCGAGTCCTTGCGGTGGTAGTTAGCGTGCATCTGGACGTCCGAGGTCGAGATGTAGACCTTGTCGCAGCCCTCCTGAAATGGTCAGTGGATGTTAGGAGTTAGGACACACAGTCGTAGAAGATACGCAGTTGTAGTCATCTGACAGTGGTGAAAGGGACGCGCGGCGCCAGTGACTACTGACTGGTTGTCACATTTGACTGATAATGTCGCAGTTTGTTGGCATTGGAGACGCATGTCCTTCTCATGAGCGAGTAAAATATCTCAGGTGAAGTGGCCGATCGCTTATAACCGCTGAGAGTTTCTAGAAAAGTCCGTTCCGTCTGCAATCGTGGTCCTGGGTAACAGCGATGGCCAAAAGTGCAGCACATGAGCACACCTCATGTTTTATATGAATATTAATATTTTGATAAACAGTTTGTGCAGTTAATGATGTAGCACATCGTTTCAGCCGTCCGCAGTAATGAACGCTGGACTAGTTCAAAGAGCTGCTGCACCATTTTAGGCTCCCATCATTGATCTGCTGACCAAAGCACTTCTACCCTAATCTTAATGCATTCCAGCCAGCCTGGCCTCACGCCCCCTGCTGAGCTCTCGTCTCGCCGTGTGCCACCTCCTCCCGATCTCGGGATCGCTCCACCCCGGCGCCACCCTGTTCTGCACGTTCGGCGAGAGGCGCGCGGTGCTGGCGTCATCGTCCATCGCGAGACCGGCGAGCTCCTGCAGCCTTCACGGCGCGGATTAAACCATAAACCACCGCCGGTTAGCGCTGCATCTGCAACAGACGCCCGGCCGGCGCGCTCGCTCGGATTCCGACGCCTGTCCGGCCCGACGGCACGCCTCGCGCGCCACTCATATGCAGACGAGGCGCGGTGCGCGTTCGGGGGAGCGGGGTTCCCACAGCATCGCGCTGGCACCCGACTGGCACCCTGACGGCGACCGGTCAGTCCAAGTGTCACTGGACGGTGTCCCGTAAGACGCTTATGTCCGCTTTACATGTGACTAAAAATGCATTATGCATAGCATCACGATATGCAGGCATGAATGATGGGCGGACGGGCTACTTAAAAATACATGCCGATATAACACGGCGCACGCTGACAGTGTAATACAACACACGCGGCACGACTGGCGTTTTCGGCAGCGCGGCGAGCCAGGCGTCGAGCTCTGCACTGACGCGGCACATGTATGATTCCGTCCGTTTGGCCGCCGCTGGGCGGGTGACGGGCGAATTTTACCGCGCGTTACGCACAATTGAGTCCCATTGAGGCGACCATGTCGTGCTGCAGCCGCGACATGTCTGCAACGGACCCGGCGTCGTCCGGCCGGCCCACCCAGGCGCCGGTGGCACACAGGCGCGCGCCGCCCCGGCCGTCACGGTGCCCGCGCGTCTGCCACACGCCGTCACGGCCTGTCGCATGACGTCACGGTTCGTCACGGTGTGACGCGCTCAGATCAGCTGACGGGGTGTATGTGTGACGCGGTGCAGCGGCGGCGGACCCCGCCCGGCCCCACCCCGTTCCCTTCAGTCACCGGATGATCTCAGCCCCTCAGCTGCGATGTTCAGCAGGCCAAGTCTGAGTGGCTGAAGCAGCCTGGCTCCGTCGCGCCCCGTCTTGTCTGGCCAGAGCCACTCCCTCTCTGCAGGCAGTGTCCATCCCCGGCATCATCTCAGATGAAGACACGAGTTGATCCGACCGACCTGCGCCAACAAAACGCCGCACTAGTCTTAGCCAGCGATAAATCGCGCCGCGATCGCCGCAGAAAGCGGCCACGTCGTGAGTGCCGCGCGGGCGGCGCTAATTACAGCGGTTGGCGCTCATACGTCGCGAGCGCGGCTCGTTGGCCGCTCGTTCGGCTCCGCCCTGACGAGCGGCAGAACGAGCTGGACGTCCGGCCGCCGCGGGGCCGGCGCGAGGCTGGTAGAGTACGCCGGAGTGGGGGTGTTCTGTTCGCGATTTTTCCGTTCGCGTCGGGCACATCGAGAAGTGTGCTATGCGGCCTCAAGTTGAAGGTCACGGTGGAATTAGCTTTCAGCGTGAAATCGGGTAAATAAATGATCAATGGATTGGTCGAATCGAGCCGATTTCAGGTTCATTGGGGTTGACGGTGTTGCAAGGAGAGCTGAAGAGGCAGGTTAGGGTGCTGGTGATCGGAGGGGCGTTCGGGTGCAGTGGTGATTTTCGACGACTGGTGGAGTCAGCGCCCTCGAATCAGCCACCATACATGCTTGTCGTGAGCGCATTGCGATCGCTGCAGTGCCGTGACCACGCCGCGCTTTTACTATACCTTGTCATGAGTATGCCTCTCCCGCCTAGATCGTACCCTCCTTGCGGCGCAGACAGTGGCAGCTGTTTTGGGACGACGAACGCGATGCTCGTGAAGGGCGTAACCAACATACGAGGTGTTGTATAATCCACCGCCCGGGGACAGAAGGGGCGGACAGACTGGGCGGGCGACGCGATTCCGGAATCAATTTCGGCCGTTGCCGGTGTGTTTATGGTCGGCGGCTGCGCGAGGCACTGCTCGGCCACTCGGTGGCCCGTCGGCGGGCTCTGCACGCCCCGCGGTCGCGTTTTAATGGGTTACTCGCCGGCAGCGTGTTGACGTGGTAGCAGTTGGGCAGAATGGATGACAGACACAGTGATTGAGCCTCGCCATACAGTGCTTATAAACAGAAATAGGCCGTGCCGTGTCGGCCCGTCGGCCGTCGGACCTCCCCAGTGCGGTTGGCTCGGTGTCAACACGCCGGTGGCGGCAGAGGTCGGCTGCAGCGCGACCGACGCGGCCCCTCTCCGCTTCCCCGGAAGGCGCGCCGCTCCGTTTATTGTTGCTCGTCGATGATGGATCGGGCGGCCGGCGGAAAACGGTACCGTCCGTCCTTGTCCCGTTCAGACGTCCGTTTTGTCCCGTCTGTCCGTCTGTCCATCTGTCCGTCCGTACGTCTGACCATGGCCAGTTCGTCAGGATCGGTCGCTCAACTTGCAATGATCTGGATGACCTCATGGGCGTCCCTCATTTAGGAGGCCGCCGAGCGCGCCGCTCGCGCCGATATCGGGAACAGTGGTCCGTTGAGCGCCCTCCCGTCCTGGGCCCCGGTTGCAGCGCATTACAGAAACATGGCGACAGACGCCGGCCACGTGACATTCTTTAATCGGACAAAGCGGCTGGCTCTGCCACCACGCTGCAGATAGTGTCTGTCCGCTTTATCGAGTGCTTACGCTAAAACCCTCCTGTGATGGTTTACAGAATAAAAAGCAAACCATGACGGCCGGTGTCAGATAAGTAAAATACTGAACTGTTTATGGGTCTTGTCGCACAGTGACGTCAGCTCGAAGACGATAATTTATTGGGTAATTTACGGCTCGAGACCGCCAATCGGCTTTCTCCACTGGCTGGCGATGCAAGCAACTGATAATTCAGCCGATTTAGAGCGAAATTTGCATGCCCTCTGCAGGATTCTGACCTTTGTTGCACAAGGACCGGTCATCATATTAATAACCGGAAAGGGCAGACAACGGCCATTTATATGCATCAATGGACTCTGGTTCATGTTTTCGTGGATTTATGGAGCGAAACAATGCAATAGGAGAATCACATTTGAAAGCCCGCGGGGTTGCTATGGTCCGAGGCGGCGGGATAGCGCTGCAGCGAGTAATGAGGCTCGCGAAGGCCGGGCGACGGCGCCGCTCGCTTCAGATGAAGTCGTCACACTACGGGACAGCATGTCAAACGCTGTGTCGCGTCCGCCGCCGCCCGGCGCGACCGGCAATGGGAGGCATCCCCATCGCGCCGCCGATCTTCGCATTAGAGATAACTCATGTCGCCGGGCCATATTTAGAAAGCAGCGATCACAGCGTCGCGACTGTATTCAGAACATCATGAAAACAGCCCACGACGAATTTTCAGCGGGCCGAGATGGCATTGGGCATAATCGAATCGGGTGGCAGCAAACATCAAATGTGAGGCGATGCGAGATGCTGATCATGGATGCCCGTCTAGCGAGGCTGCATCGTCCCTGACGCCGCTTTACATCAGACATCCTGGATGCAGATTTCGCATCATAGTTACACCGAGGCGAGGCGACACATTGATGTCGGATTGTCACCTGTCACTGCGAACGCCGTGTCTGAAGGGTCCCATAGGCTTTTCATGACTGTCAGACCATGCCGACATGCAGCGCATACCGTTCGATGTGTGATCTCCGAGAAGGCGTTCTGTGAACTATGGAGACCGGCTGAATAAAAACCGCGCTATGAGCTGAAACATTTTTGGAACGTACAGCATCCAGGTGACTGCATTTATTGGGCGTTCTTGACCCTATTTTCAATCCGATGTAAGCTTTTTGGTGCTTTATTTTCCCACGAGGGCTATAACAGTTAACACAAAAAAATCGGCTTAATCGTGTCAGAAGTTGTTGAACTCTCCGAGCTCCACGAACGATAAGTTCGTTATGCATTCATATTAAGTGCGCCCCATACATGTAAGCATTCACAGAGCCCGTCTCAGCATTAGTTAACTTGCAACAGCCGTGTTCTGTCCGGCCTCCCGGTGGGCACATCTATTACGCCAATATCCGGTCGTGAGCGTCATACCAAGCACCCGGAGGTTCATTATCGCCCGGCCACTCCCTGTTCTGGTCGGAGCGGGCGGGGCACCCCTGCCCCGGCCCCTGCTCCGACACCTGGCCCGTGGACGGTACCCCTAGCAGTCCTTCGGGAGGGAGTACGAACTGAGGGGCGTCGTGGATTCGGGGGCGTCACCGGCGCCGAACGCCGCCCCCTCTCGGGCGCTCACCGGAGGCCATCGAGAGTGTCGTTAATGTGTTTACCGCGTCGGTGGTGACATTTGGAGCGCTGCAGCGGTGCCGTGACGCCGCCGGCACCGTCGCCGCTTTGAAGAATCACGTTAGTTCGCGGAATGCGCCCTCGGGCACCGTATAAGGACACCGCCGGCGGCGCCGGGCGCCGAGGGGCGCCGCTGACGGTCGCGCGAGATGATGGTAGTGAAATGAGGTGAAGTAGGACATACATGGCCGACAGAGGTCATATCGTGAACGCCACTCGGTGCTGCTGGCACTATTTGCCGCCATGGCTGTCAGATCGATCGTGCAAGGGGCTGAGGCGTGATAAGACGAATTTATGTGCTGATTGAGAGCGGAGTATTTCCATTTAAGGCTTCTGAAAGCGGGTCGATGTTGATTGTGGTAAATAAGTGGGCAGTTACCACGACAGCGCCATAACTATCTCCTTCGATCCCGTTGCAACCTCCTGCGGAACATGCCTCTGTGTCGTAGCCGAGTCAATTGTAGGGCGAGACAGTGGACACTTAAGTGGCTGAAGCAAACGGGGTGAAGCGAAGCCAGTGCAGAACCCGGCGTTATCTGCGCCGTTTCCGCTGCCACCGGGGTGGCTGTCGTCCAGTTGATGCTCGTCCTATCTCGGCCACCCGCGCGCCGCGCCGGTGGCCCCTGTCCTGCACTGCCTCCGCCGGGCTCACTGTTTGTCAGAGCGCGTGCCTGCTGTCGCACCAGACCGCGACATATCCGGCGAGCGCGAGAAAAAAGTGACAGCTCCGCGGCAACCCTGTGATAAACCCGTTGGTGCAGCGCACAGGAGACCCGCACAACGTCGGGCATCGGCAGGGTGGGCGCTACGTGACCTGCAGGGGCTGCACAGGTCAGGCGAAGTGAATGTGGTTTTGGCTTTGGATTAGATAGAAGGGCTAAATCTTCTGGACGCTTTCGCTTGGTTCATTGTGCTGCAGAAAGTGGAGATTGACGTTGGTGAGAAGCGTGAGCAAATTGATGACGATTAGTTAGATGTGTAACGATCTGTGATTGTTCCAGTGACCTGATTATCTCCGGAGAACCCACAACAGAATTACCGTTATAATCCCGGCGCCCACGGCTCAATTTGCTCGGCTTCGTGGAATGCCTTTGCAGAGCGCATCTCTGCAGTGAATGTGTAGCCGTGGGTCCAGTCCGTCCGGCCAGCTGCCATCCGCCGTTGCTGAGGGCGGACATTCTTGACTTGCCGGCTGCGGGTCTGGGTCTTACCCAGAGGCAGTGGATAGTGGCGGACTATAGGTCTGGGTCTTACCTTGAGGGATAGCAGTAGTGACAAACCGCGGATCTGGGCCTTACCTTGAGGCAGTGGTAGTGGGTCTGCTTCCTGTTGTGGCTGCAGTCGGGGTAGCGGTCGCCGCAGTCGTCGGTCGGAGAGTAGCGCATGAAGCCGTGCTGCAGCGAGTCGTCCCGCTTCTTGTGCCACTTGAAGTGGCGGATCATCTCCTCCTTCTTCACGAACACGCGCGAGTTGCACTCCAGGCAGTGGAAGTGCTCCCTGAAAGAGGAACATCAGCCTTATAAAAACCGACGTTCGGCTGTGATGAGGCAGGAGTTGTTCAATTAAAGCATTGCAATCTGGATCTAAATCAGAGTATTGTCATCTCCGAGAATGTGGGATAAGCGTGGCCCTGAACACGGACATACCTATCCGACAGCACAGCACAGGATAGGCTCTTTCACCGGCTTTTTATTTTCAACCAGACGTCTCAACAGGGACGGAAGGAGTGGTCATCCTCTCTTGTCACCTGGGGTGAAGCTGCTATCTGCGCTGACGGCCAGTCTCCTGCGCCGTCTCTGACTGTCCAGGCGCACTGACAGTCGGGCACCAGCCCACCTCGGTGTCAAAAGACACGCTCAGCACCGCTCTGCGCTCGTCATCACTTCGCGTGTCCCCTCTCCACCCTCCTAGCGGACCAACTTCGCCACCTCGAGCGGCGACAACAGTGATCTCACTTTTTCTCCGAATATCTGATAACAAAACAATCACGGCTTCTGAAACGCAGATGAATAATGAAAGCAAACCCTTTCGCGCGAATCGGTCTGTTTGTTTTAGTTCCATGCAAATTTTGCAACATGGCTCGCGGGTGCGAAGACCTTGCACCCCTCGGTGTCGCTGCCGCGGGCTGTGCCGACAGCGACCGTTCTAGCGAGCAGACGGAGGCTCTCCGCCGCCGTGTGCGGCCGCCGCCAGTTGGCATGACAAATCACAGCCTCGTACCGGGTCTCTGCTTCAGTTTATGCCGGCCGGGCGTGTTTTGTCTCGCAGACGGCGGCAGCGGCGCCGGCAGCGGCGCGACCTGCATGACTGGCTGCGGTCGGACGGCCCAGGGGTCATTACCGAACCCCGCAGCGCTCGGTCGCCGCCGGACTGACCGCCGCCGCCACGGCGCGGCTTTGCACGGCAGATTGGACGGCAGTGCCGCTGACAGTCGCGTTTACCGGGCTGCTTGTCGCCGGTCTCCGCGGCCGCTTTGTAAGGTGATGAGCGAACGGTGCCGCCGCCGCTGCATTGGTGCCTCGAAAGGGACTTGCCCAGACTCCAAGTTTTGTTGTTAAACGGGTACGTCCACAGAAGGGCAAGTGCCTTTGCATGCAGGGAACAGAGGATAATATTTCGGTGCAATAATTCGATGCGCAATTAGAATTCAGAGGCCACCTCATGCCTATGGATATTTATAGCCGTGCTGCTCAGACGAGGCACTGGAGGCGCTCGTCCCTCAACTTTCATAAAAGATGGTCTGCTTCTATTGCCCTTGATCAGTCAGATGTATGTACCGGGCCACCCGCCACAGCCGCCGCCCGCTGCCCTGCCACTTGCGGGGCCGCGTCGTGCAGCTGGCTCCCGCGGTGCGGCCAGACCGGCGCGATCCGGGAAACTGCGGCGAACCCGGCGCCCTCGTCGCAGCTGCGCCGCCCGCCGCGTGAGGGCCGCGTCTGCCCCGCTGCGCGGCGCTGCAATATTCATGGATGTTGCAGGCACGCCGGGACGCCTACGGGGGACCGTGGGAACAGCCGCGCCGCTTTTGTGCCGCCACCGCGCCGCTTTTGAGCTTTTGAGTCGGTTTCGACAGTCGGAGCGGCGCCGGGCGTGTGCGGAATCTGGCGCATCCTGTCGCTGCGCCATGTTTCGAATATTTACACGTCATCGAGGGAAGAGTTGAGCGGAGGCCATATTTCACATGACGCTAGGGAGGGCGACTGTGAGAAAATTGAAGTTAGACGCGGAGACGGGATGGATAAAGACGGGAACGGGGAACAAGTTAATGATGGCGAGGGGAGGAGACATGGGAACGGGGACATGAACAAAGCTGGAACATCATTTCGGAGATAGCGTTTACATGGATGAATATTGGTGTAATTTAACCCGATACGGGAAAAGAACATGAGGTTAATTTTGAATCGCTTAATGCTTGGTTAAGCCGAATCCATAGTCAATCCGGAGCAGAACTGCACCACCTATGAGCACCACACCAATCCTGGTGAGTGCAGTCGATATTTCCAAACAGAGCCAGAATTGGGTGGTCGGTCGGCTTGCACCAGTCACTGCACAATGGCCCCGACCGATGCGCTCCGCGGCTGTTTGCGGAGATCACTTTCTCAGAAGGTGCCGCCGCTGACCTGGCGGGCCCGATATGGGTCCGTTCGAGGGTGACCCATGTGGCCGACCCACTGTCGCGTGCTGATGCGCCTAACGACACCGGCTGCCGGCCGCCCGGCGCGACCGAGGAAGTGGAATTTAGGTCGATCACGGATGATTAGATGACTACTGGCCGTCTAGTCAGGGCAGCGTGGGTTGCTGGGTCGTTTCAAATGCAATATCCATGGCTCAGGATAAGGTGTAAACATGATCGTCTATGCATGGAAGATAACGACAGCGCGCGGGAGCCTTATTCTCCGGCAAGACAATGCAGGGCTTATGCATCACGAGTCTTTGTATTCAGCCGCTCAATACGGTGGAAATTCCCGGCGCCAGACACACAGACCAGTGTCGGATATCCTGGTGAGGTCAACACGGCCATGGACCAGTCAACGTGCTGTCGAACCTGTTCGCGGCCGTCATCATTAATGTGTGCATTTGTCTCCCTATTCTTATCATCGCTGCAACAATCACTATCAGCATTATCCCCTACCAAGGGTAATCCAATCATCGATGTCATTATCATCGTCATCCCCACCACCAGCACGATTGCCATCATGCTCAGCGCAGGGACTCACCGGTAGCTGAGGTCGATGCAGTGATTGAAGCCGCACTCCTGGGCGCTGGTGAAGCGGCGGACGTAGCGGCCGTAGTCCACGGCAGTGTTCCTCCGGTCCGTGGCCGTGGTCGCCGGGGACGGAAACGGCAGGCCGTTGGCGGGAGACACGCCCGATGGAGGCACCGGAGTCCCGGCCGGAGCACCTGCGGGGTACAGGTCAGGTCAGACAAGGAGAGTTAGTGATGGTCAGATGAGGGAGAGTCACTTCTCACGGAGTCGGGGAAGTCAAGAAGGCAGTATCACAGAGCAAGCCGCCATTCCAGCAGCCGTGAGACGAAATGGTGCTGTCAGGTGATGATGCTGGTAGACTTTTCCTCTTGGAAACAGCACCTGCAAGGTCAGACGTAGGGGTGGCTGGACATTCAGCTCGAAAATTACGACGAAGCGAACGAGAAATGCAGAGAGCGACGGCCTTTCAATGGACCATCGAATGGAGACCTTGCCGAAAGCTATTGCAGGCTGCAACTCTGCCTGGAGTAGATAAAGGAGCCAGCCTCGCCTTTTGCCAGAGTACCATACGTCTCCCGGAGTCGCCGGCACTAAACGTCGTCGTAAGGATCCGACTTGGTATATGTCCGATTGCATTCCCGACAGGGGTTCTAAATGCGACGGGTTTTAGCGGCAAACGTAAGTGCTCGTTTTACTTCTCCCAGAATACCTTTCCAGCGATGAGCGGTGAGGATTAGGTGAGCTAGGAGACGGGAGTCCAAACAAAGTGTCCCATCAAAACAGCCCGTGGCGACAGCGGCGACAGGCCATTAGGGTGCCTTGTCTCTCTCGACTCCGCCGCAATCTCCGCCGGGCGCGCCAACTAATGCTGATGAACACTAATGACCCTCTTCGCGGCCCGGTGCGACAGCCCCATTCTGCCTGCGCAGCGCCACTCGACGTACCACTCATGAAACCGACATTTTCCAATTAAGAGGAGCTGCAATCAGCGCCTGTATCGGGCCTGTATCCGGCGGCCGCGCGCCCTGGCGCCCGCCGGTGAGCCACTTCCTCTCGGTCCATTCACGCGCGCGTCCGCCGCCGCCCCGTCCCCCGGCGGCGCGGCCCTTCCGCACCCCACGGCGCCGCCCAGCACCGCCTTTGATCATCACCGAACCGGCGACGTGCCGTTATTATCGCATTTTGGTTGCACTATTTAACCCTTTCACGGGAAATGGGCGCTTCTGGAGAGGATTTTTTGCAACGCCTCCCGCTGTGTCGGGGTTCGAGCGACGGGCGGTGACGACAGCTCCCACAGAGGCGGCGGAAGACGGCGGAGGGTGGCCGTGAGATGAGACGGCTGCGGCCGCCCGGAGGTACACAGAGAAAACCCAATTTATTGATCGGCCCACGCCGTGAATGGTGCACAAAAAGCGCTCGGCTCGAGCCCGCCGGTCGTTTGCTAAAATGTGGAATTAGCATCTGTATGGCGCGGCGCGGCGGTGAATGGCGCCACAGAGATGAAGAACTGGGGAGAGGGTTATATGCCGGCGCACGTTCTGCATATTGGCGCGCGCTGAGCAAGAGGCTCGGGGCCCGCAGATCGGCCTCCGTGCCACCGTGGCCGCAGGCGCTACCATAGCCCCAGCCAGAGCTGTCATATCATCCCGGCCTCGTATTATTTCCCGCTCATTGGGCGCGGGCGGGGAGTCCCTGTGACAGTGACGATCGCGATGGGGGTCGGCTCAGTTGCAGCGTGATTTAGCACCGGTGACAAAATGGCGACGGGCGTGCCGAGCGGCGACCGCAGAACGCGGCGTCGCGCACGACGATAGAGCCATCGTCCGGCGATCGGCGGTCCGATTACGCGAGCGCTCCACTCGGATCGTCGCGATTCGACCGTAAACGTCACGCGGCCGCTATTTACACCGGACAGTCGGTCTCTAATGACCGCGGCCGGCCGGGCGGCGGCGAAGGCGGCGCATCGCGGATAAATCCCCGCGCCGGGGAGCGGCCGACCGCGGTTTCGGACGGCTAAGCCGCCGTGCCGCGCTGTGTCGCGCTAATTGACGCCGTGCAACGTCCGCCATTTTGGAATGGCCGTGCCGTGCCGTTCTGGCGGCGGCGGTGACGCGACTGCGGTGGGCGGGCCGAGTGGTATTACAGCCTTAGCCACCGCGAGATCTCCAGATATTGACCACAGTGGCGGCGCGGCCGGCCTGGACCCGGTGCCGGCGTCGGGCGTGCCAGCCAACCGCCGTCATGAAGACTATATGGCGGACGTCTCTGGCGGGCGCTGTCGGGCACAGCCACTCCCCAACGCCGCATGCCATCGTGGCTGCTGTGACAGCAGATTTGACCCCCGCGGTGCCCTCCCGACGCCTACACTTGGAGCAAATGCACTGAGAGCAATCCGATCCGACGCCTGCATTCATGAAAAAGGTCACGCGGCGGGCGGGAACAATGCGCCGCGACGCTGCGCTGGCACTCACCGGAAGACGACAAGCTGTTGGGGTGGGACACCTCTTCAGGGTGTGACGGATGGCGGTGCACCGAATAAATGCATTAACTATGATCATATCGGTCATGTCTCGCGGATGCAAATCCCGGTTTGGCACGCTGGCGCGAAATGGGGTTCTTTTGAAAACGGAAGTAGCAGTATCGGGCCATGTTATTGATGCCCCGATGTCTGGCAATAGCTACAGGTTTGAAAACATGATTCGAATTCGTCAGCGCCTGTTTTGTGGGTACTCAGAACCGTGCCATGCACTGACAAAAACATGAGCTTTGCCTTTCTAGCGGCCAACGGCTGCAATGCATGAACGTCCAGCAATAAGTAAAACACGAACGCCAGCCCCCATACAGGTGCGAAAGTGAGGGCGACGCGAAACGTGCAATCCATATTTATGCGCCATCTTTATTCAACACGTGACTTACTGCACGTTTAATATGTTGCAGCTGCGCATTCAGCGTGAAACCATCGGTCACGCATTGGGCTCTGCACACTTGTGCCGCCTCCCTCACAGCGGGATCACTGAAGAGTCCGCAACAAAATTGATCTGCTTTGCGTCATTCATATGACACCCATGGGGCGAGCGCTTTCAGAGGCAAGATGAACTGACGCATTTATTAGACTGCCATCCCGGAAGAGCGGTGATACGCTCGGGGGACGCAAGGCGTCTCCGGTCAGGCCGGTAGTGTAATTCAGACATTCCAGCGGGATGGCGTAGCGGCTGCAGGGCGCAGTCATCTATCATACATGACACGCTCGCCTTCTTCCTCTTAAACATGAAAGAAACATCAACATTCCACATTCTCACAGAAGCTACCAGCACATTTCGGCCCTAGTATGGCGCGTGCAACGGCGCCTGCTGATGAGGCGAGGTCAAACTCGATGCACGACCGATTTTCGTCGAGTTTTCACCAGAAACGGGAACCAGTATGCATGGAGGTGATGTCAAGAATGCGGTACACAATGCTCCACCCTGAACGGTGGACTGGCACGGGGCGTGGGTGATGCTGCACCGAATAACAAGTAGCAGTATTGTGTCTCTGACTATACTCTGACGGCAATCATCTGACAGCATTTGACTGCTGCATTCTGCATGTTGTTTTTTATGAAATCCAGTTCTTACATAACCGAAGATCCTGTTTCGTGACACAAAGTGATGAACATCAAGACATGGGATGGTAAACGAGATCCGATGCGAACGCGGAAAGCACCAACTCACCGTGAGCACCGGCCTGCGCCAGGCCTCGGTCCTTGTTGAGGGCGGCGAATGTCAGCAGGGTGGCCATGTTCTGGGGCAGCAGCAGCTGAAACGCATATCGTCACACAGTTCAACAAACAGTGCCACCTCCTCGCGCGATTCAACAAACATTGGCATGACAGTGTCCAAAACGATCACGTCATCTGGGCGTCGTTCACGCATTTCGCTCAGTGGAAATACGATCACACGTCTGGACTGCATAACTCAGGGAGGCTGAAGCTGAGAAACTGGATGACGAACTGGGGAAGTCGGATGAAGGAGGGTGAATTACTGTTTTCCCATACCTGCTACATTGCATGATTAAATCGAGACATCCAGGCATTTTAATGGCACGTGCACTGTACCACACTTTTCAAAGTTTAATGCAGTGCTTTAATATTGCCAGCCGTGTGGTTCAAGGGGTGTGGTTAAACGCGTTGAACCACACGGCTGCTGACGTCACTATCAATTATAGTTGTGAGCTTTTTGGCAGGTATGGGAAACACCTTCCAGCCCTCAGGCCAGGAATTCAATAAATGTCACCTCGCTTTTTTAGCGAAAAGCACCTCGGGCCTAACGGCCCTCGGAGTTTTCGCTAAAAAACCTCGGTGACATTTATTGAATCATCCCGGCCCCGGGCAGGAATATATTAATGGCAACGTTGAGTTGCGTAACAAAACACGGGAGCTGTTTTTGAACTATCGCTTTTGCCCGCATCTTCCGTTCATGATTTTGCGGTCCAACTTCTGACCAGTCTCCTAAACTACTTCTTTGCTATCCAACTGCTCTTAAACTTAGTTTCAGTTTCTTTTAGCCCTCTGCAACTAAGCGACCAACGCTGTCCCCGGCTACCCAAACACTAAACAGTCCCACCCGACTTTAACCCCGTCCCCCCGGCTACTGACCCCGTTGCCGCCCATGGCAGTCCGTGCGAGAAGTCGTCGCCTCTCCTGCTCCAGTGCCGCTGCCTGACCCGGTGACGCCGCCCTCGGTGTGTGAGGAGGCGTCGGCGGCTGGTGGGGCGGCTGCTGGGGCGATGTTCGGCCACCCCCGCTCGGAGCCGGGGCAGCAGCCGGCGGCAGACGACCGGTCAGATGCTCGAAGAGCTTCCCTGAAACAGACGATATGACCACGTCAGTCATCGTGGTGATCCGTATGACATTATACTAGCTATATATGCTCCGAAGCATTTTCCCACAATGGGACATCGCTGTATGAACATCATAGCCCTTGCTCGGCCGGTTGACTTCCGCTCATGCAACGTGACATAGTTGGCGTTCCGTCTATTGACTATGTGACATGCCGAAGAGTTCGCTGTCGATTTCTCAGCGCCATGACCACCGATACCGGTCGTAGGGCGCGTCTGAGCTGCCCTCGACCGCGCCGCGATCGGGCCGGCGCACGGACCAGTTTTTGCCGAATTGTGTCGTTTTTACCACATTCTCCGGTCGGTGGCTCCCACGCCGCCGCCGGGCCTCGCTCGGGGCCAGAGGGAGAGACGATAGATCGGGCGTAGGAGAGGGAGCGTGAGCGATAGACACAGGAAAAGGAAATCGCCGATAGTGTGATGATTGAGGGGGCTGATGACTGCGGACACGGATCGTTAACGAAGTTGGAGCGCCAAATGAGGAAACCTGCCACCCTGAGCGTTTTTGCCACCTGGCTGTATTCCCTCGGATGCTAAAACTCGCCACTTCCACGGCTGTGCTCGTTGTAGATTCTGGAAGTATCGCCCGGGGACCCTCAGGCCGGGTCATGACCCGCCATGACACGGGGCCGACGACACGCCACGTGATGACACGGTAATGGTGTCGCCTGATGAGGCCCTGCCGCCGGCAGTCGAGTGTGACAGTCCGCCGGGCGTCCCCAGACGGAGAGAATGACCGCAAATTATCGGCCTATGCTTATTAGGCGTCGTCATTATTTACCGGCTGCTTATGCAGGATTGCGGCGGCTGGCGCCAGAGCACCGCTAGTTCCTGACGCCCCGGAGATAAGCGCGAATCAGAACGAAGTGGCATCATAAATCGACACGGCCTGCGAGAAAATGCCGCTCTGGCCTGTATGTTATAAGGCTAACGGTACGCGCGCCGCGTGCAAAACCGGTGCAAACGAGCGGCGACACGCTGTTTCTGGCTCTGATCCGGCAACAGATTCGCTCGACCTCCAGACACAGGCATCGCTGTATGCAAAGTTGGTCCGGAGCGGTCCGGCTCGTCCGGTCCAGAAACGCTGCTCTGCCGTCAGCCGGATGCTGGAACTGCCCGCCAAATGACGCCGTTCGACCCAAGAATGAGACGGTAACACGGACTAGGTCGGATGCCCGATCGCCATCGGGGCGCCCCGAGGCGGCGGAGGAGGCGGGTCGTTTCCAGCGCGGCCGGGAGACCCGATCGTGCATGCGGTCCGGCCGGACGTGATCCTGCGCCCCGGCCTCCTCGCTAATAACCTGCTGCATGACCCCGGCTCCTCGGCGCAGGAATGTGCACAAAAAAAATTTGCATCCGAGGCGCTCTGCCGGGTCGAGTCATGAGAACTGGAGGAAATGCGCCGCCTCGCCGGCTCTAAATCACCTTAGCGTGTAATCTCACAGGATTCGCCTGTTATTAGCCGAAAATTGCAATTACGAATCGGTCGTTTATTGGCGGTCGTCGATGGCCGGCCGGCCGGCTTGGCGTCGTGTTTTCGCAGGTCGTTTTGTTGGCCGGCGCCGCCGTGACCGCCGGCCGACCCCGGCGGCGGCGCGCCGCCAGAACGGGCGGCGACGTTCCCACGCGCGCGACTCCTGTGACATTTAAATGGCGCGGCTCCCACGGCGCCGCCGGCGGCGCGACCTCCGACCCGCGCGCGGCTGACTTTAATTTCTCCCGACTTCTGGATCCAGAGAAAATCGTGAAAAGCGACAATTAGAGGTCTCGAGGAGTCATCAGGGCCTGCCCTCCGCTCTCACGGCCGTGAGTATTAAAAATTGATCGAGGGAAAATGGCGCGCCGCGCCGCTTTTGTCTCTCTTGCCACCCGGAGGATAATGAAGGTGAGCGGGATGGAAAAACGAGCTCATTGTCTCTGAAATGAGCCGCGGACGGCGACTGGAGTGGATGGCTATCTGGATCGTCCGGACACTCCCACCTCCATCCCGTCCTCAGGAACCTCCTCCCCTGCCTGGGACGTCCTCCCCTCCCTCCTCTCTTCCGGTCGGGGCCACCCCTCTCTCCTGGCCGCTCACGACTCTCTCGCCGCGGTGGAGAGCCAGCGGCTATCACTGGGCCGGGCCCATCAACATTATCACTGCCATCACGGCCGTCGTTACGCCGCCCAGCTAACCGGCAGGCCGACTTCCCGAGAGCAACTCTACATAGACTCGCCGCCCGGCACTGGACCTGTGACGTCACAGGTCGTGACGGCGCTACACGGTGGCGCTGCGACCGAGCGCAGCCGTAACTGGTGGGCCGAAACGCGACCCGAGCGAATGCAGCGCCGGTGCACTGACCAGGGCAATTATCGTTAACTTACAGCTCTATAAAGTGTAGCGGTGGCTAGGGGCCGTGGGAATGCCTAGTCACGTGACCCCGGCGGCGGCCAATTAAAGTAGCGTTTCGGCGGCTCCTTTCCCGGGTTGGCTTTAATTTTGGCCGGGCGGGTCGCAGGTCAGTGGCGCGCCGCGACGTGCCGCAATTGGCGATCCCCGAGCGATGCTTTTTGCGAGCGAACGCCTGATGAAAAGTGTATCAAAAGAATGGTAATGGTGGGAGGCGGCAGGGGTGACGCACTGGGGCGTGCGCTGGCGCGCCGCGCTGCAAAGGGTCAACAGGGGCGCGGAATTCGCCAAATGTGGGAAAGCGCGTGTGAGTCAGCTGCGAAACTCGTGCGAGTCAGGCGCATCGCTGGGAATCAGCGCGGTGCCTCGGGCGAAATTTCGGTGAGCAAGTGACAAGGCACGCCGCTCGCTGACACGGTGGCTCCCGGGTCGACCCTCGGGTCTCAGAGGTGGGGTCATGACCTGACACAGAGCCAAACACGGACGGAACACGACTGACATCGCCGGTCGCAGCCGCCCGCCCGCGTTGTAATGGCAGGAAACTTGGGTCTCCGGCTCTACGAGCGGACGTAATGGGTCCAAATGGACGGTTTTCGACGCTGGCGGCACAAGTGCGGCAACAAGCCCTAATCCGGTCGCTTCCTGCGCCGAGATGCGCTCCCATTCCGGGTCGGCCAGATCGGCAGGGGCAGGCGGGGCGGGTGGGTCGGAAGCGGTACCCAGCACGGCGCCCTTGGGACGTCGTTCGCACCATTTTACGGCCCAGCCTCCGACAGCGGCGCGGCAGCCGAGCGGAGCTTTTACGATGTTCGTCTTTGTTCGCAGTCAGACTGTGCAATAGGCTGTTCTGTTGCGGTGCCGAGAGAGAGGTCAGATTCATGCACCGTTTGGGAGCGTTTAGGAAATACCTCGTCAGGGTTAATTGCGGGCGCCGCGGGCGCTCCGTTCGGAAATAACTGAGGCTGGGAAGAAACGGGAAACGAGCCGGTGAGTAAGGAGTGAGTCGCATGTTTGGAGGTTTGAGTCAGCCGAGGAAATCGGAGGAATTCCCGGCATCATCAGGTCAGCCGGTATCGGAGCACTGAGTCACATCGGCTGCATATGCATAGATTGACAATGCATGCCGGCCTGCCGGTCTCCACACGGCCGTCCGCTTTTTATTCTTCCCAGAAGTTTGAGGCACTAAATAGCAGAGTGTTGTTCTGTGAAAGAACGTGACCGAACCACGGGCGCACCACCGTGGTGATTACCAGTTCCCGTTCGGCTCTCCAGCTGCCGCGGTAATCTGATCAATTGCTAAACTGCCGGATCGCCGGCCCGACATGAGCGACTTCCTCATCCACAGCTTTCTCCGCGGGCCTGACGGCGGGCAGCTGCCCTCTCAGACACCCCAGCGGCATCGACGGAGGCTGCAATGCGTCTCTGTGCCGCGCGATCGGCCGTCAGAAATAAATTGAATGAACAACAATCGTGTGATCGCGCGGCGGGTCGTCTACGAGTGGGTGCAGTCACTTGGAACGGGCCAACGAGCGACTGCCGTTGCGCCGTTCAAGTGCCAGCTTCCCAGGATTGGTGCTAGGCGTTATCATCTCCGCTCTACCCGAGTGCAGCTAGCGGATTGATAGGGATGGCGTACCTCAGTGGTCATTCACCCTTCTCAACTCAGCTGCTGCCTGCCCTGACTTCACCTTCTATGCCATTCCCCACACCTTTAGAGTGCCGTCACTCAGGGTGTCAATCTGAATATCCTCCTGTCCTACGAGACGACGCCCTCGCTAGGACGGCCAAGTGTCCAGTCTGTCCCTCCAACCAGAAGAGACACCAGCAGCATTCCGTCCCGAATGTCTCCAGACACCGGCAGCATTCAGCTCGACTTCTAGCAGCGCAGGCAGAGGGGTGGGCCGCCGGTCGGTGACACTTTTGCAACACCACTCTGCTGCCGCCGGTGGTGGTGGCCGTGCCGGCGTGGCGAGGCATTCAGGTCTGGGATTAGTGCTGCCACCGCCGCGTAAAATATCTGGTTGCAGGTGAAATGCCGGGTCCCGCGAGGCGGCCGCGGCGGAATTTATGCTCGAACCCACCTGTGCATACTAATGCGGCGATCGTGCACGCTGATTGTCAAGAAAACATGTAAAACCGGACTGTAGCGCTATTTAGGAGAGGCGACCCCTCCTGGTCTATGCGCCAGATTAAGTCCAGATCGGTGGTAAATGTCGGTGTGGGGTCGATTTATTTGTCGGAGAGCTCGCGGTTCGGGCAGCGGGTTTCATGGGGGTGACGGTCAGCCATATTGGTATGTGACTGTCCCGACACAATTCTCGCGCTGTCCATCCCTTCCCGTCCCCCCCCCCCCCCCGGGTCCAGGCAGCTGCATGCCGTCGGGATAGGTGTCGCCACCGTACCGGGCGCGAGACGATTCATTAGTTTGCTTAGCGAGCTCTGATGGGAACAGACGTTGTGTGGAGGCGGAATAAATTTGGCCGCTATGGGCCGTAAACGTCATAATTTTCAGCGCTGATGTGCGATGTTGAAGGGGTTAAACAAACGCAGTGAGACGGCCGATTGAGTCGTCTGT